GCTGCCGTAAAATCAGTGGGGCCAGCCCGAAGGCAGTGGCATCGCCCTATCACAGAGGTATGCCATTTTCCTCCCAAATTGTCTCACTACAATAAATTTTTCTCAAATTTGCTTCTTAGAGAGTCAAATTTCCTTGCTTATTTGCGTCAAAATTTTAGATTTTCCCAAATACTGTGCATATGCGAAGTGCAAGCAAAGACAGCGGCCTTTCGTCAACGGCCGTGCCTGGATCTGCAGCTCGTGCTTCGAACAGTTCGTCTTCCACAGATGATCGTTCTCCGACACCACCTGCTTCGTTTTGTGAGTGTATCATCCTTCATATTTTACTATTTTTTCTGCATGCTTTCTGCTGAATTCTACTGAATGTATTGAATATATATTATCGCAGAACTTCGAAAAATGTTCTGCCTGAAACTGTGCCATTCAGAGATTCAACACATTAATATGGATGAACAAGCATCCCTCTGCGCAGACCGCACACAAACACTTACTGAATGCGTACTGAATCTTTTTTCCGTATTGACCATGTAAGTGGCCTGAAAACTGAATCCCCACGAAAGTAGTTCTACACGTCCGCAAGAAGCGCTTGAAAAACGCTAACGATATCATTAGCCTTTTTTACAATGTTATCGAAACATGAAGCTTATTGATAATTCTTTATGATGATTGTTACAGTAATATTGATGCCCACAAACACATCTGCTGCTTTTTTTGCACTGACAATCAAGAAATACAAGAAGCGAATTAAAATTGATTTCAACTAATTACCAAAAATGTCAAGAATATACGGGCAATCAGGGTGGGTATCCCATTTTAGTGACCTGACCTTACTCTAGCAGACAAGGCACGATAAGTCAGGCCCTCAACGGACAATTAAATTAAATTAGCGTTTGGTGTATTTTTGGGCTTTTTCAACCGGTTTTTGCGCCGTATTTTTGCGCAGCAAACTCACCGAGAGAATTTTTTGTTTTTTTTAATCGCTCGCATAAGCATACCAAAACGTCTGCTTTTTTTCGCTGTCCTTTTTCTGTTCTTCATTTTCACTTCAATGAAAATTGTAGCAGTGATATTTATAAAATGTGAAAATTAACGAAATACGAACGTTTTGGCCCATCAAGTCGTACATGCTTCTGTTCATTACCACAACCAAGCCTCGTCAGTGTGATTGTTATGCTGCTAATTAATTAAAAATTAAAATACGCGTGTGTATAAAGAGGAAATGTGCCATATAAGTGAAAGAAAAAGAAAGACCTACCTAAGACAAAAGTACTAGTTTTAGCATTTTACCAGCAGCATTTCAGCTCAGAAATG